GATTTGATCCCGTATTACTTCGCAGTGCTAGAGCAAGCTCAAAAGTTTGAAGGTTTCTTTATCGAATATGTACCACGAGCTCAGAATGCATACGCAGATGCTTTGGCCTCACTGGCAACTTCATTAGTGTTGCCTCCAGGGGCTGAAACTACAATCTCAGTTGCAGGATGTGGGTTATACTATTTCAAGATTCCTATGGAGGAAAACCCTGATAAGACACTGACAGGAGAAGTCTGTACAACCTCGATGGAATTTGAAGCTAGAGATTGGCGATTCCCGTATATTGACTATGCTATATACGGAATATTACCTGATAATCCTAAGGAAGCGGCTACCATCAAACAAAAGGCCCTCCAATTCTATTATGATGCAGTCTCTCAAACCCTATACCGCAAATCACATGACGGAGTTTTGCTTCGATGTCTCTCCCGGAAGGAAGCAAAAGAGGCCCTTAAGGAAGCTCACGACGGAATGTGCGGAGCTCATCAACCTGGAGCTAAATTAGGTGATCGTCTTCGACGAATCGGATATTATTGGCCAAAAATGTTCTCAGACGCAGTTGACTATGCTAAACGCTGTCATGAATGTCAGATCCATGGGGACTTTATCCATCAAGCGCTAGGTAATTTACATCCTACATCTGCAACTTGGCCATTTGAAGTGTGGGGCATGGATATCGTAGGACCAATTTCTCCTCCGACTTCCAAAGGACACCGGTTCATTTTGGCCGTAACCGATTATTTCTCCAAGTGGGCGGAGGCAATCCCGTTAAGAGAAGTCAAGACAAAGAATGTGATCAAGTTCATTAAACATCACGTGATCTATCGCTTTGGAGTCCCGAGACGAATAGTTCATGACAACGGGACACAGTTTGTTAGTTTTGGATTTCAGAGATTCTGTGATAAATTTCGCATCCAAAGTGCGGCATCCACGGCATATTATCCGCCAGCGAATGGTCTTGCAGAAGCCTTTAACAAAACTATCGTGAAACTCCTCAAAAAGTTTGTCTCCAAGAGTCGACGGGATTGGGACGAAAGACTCGGCGAATGTTTGTGGGCCTACCGCACAACAGTGAGGACCCCTACAAGAGCTATGCCGTTCTCTTTGGTATATGGCTGTGAAGCCGTACTGCCATTAGAAATTCAAATCCCTTCTTTAAGAGTCGCTGTCACAACCGGACTGACAGATGAAGAAAAACACCAACGACGTTTGCAGGAACTTGAAGCTTTAGACGACAAACGACTTCAAGCTCAACAACAGATTGAACTATATCAAGCCCGCATCTCTAAAGCCTACAACAAAAAGGTCAAGGAGCGGATTTTCAAGAAAGGCGATTTGGTTTTGGCTAATCGACGACCTATGGTGATGACCCATAAAACCAAAGGGAAGTTTAATCCTAAGTGGGAAGGACCTTTTGTGGTAGAGACGGTCTATTCCAACGGAGCTTATCGTCTCATCAATAAAAAAGGCGACAGACTTATGATGCCAATTAATGGAAAATTTCTTAAGAAATATTACCCGTAAGCTGCAAGTCTCTTGAGCTTAGCTGGGGGTTGCTCATCAAATGTTTGTATGAACAAATAAGTTCTCCTACTTTGTATGTCGTCAAGTTAACATTACACCTCTGACGATTTAAGTTATCGAGAGATGTTATAATAAAGAAAATTTCCTAAGTTGTTGAATTGATTTGGTTTAGCGGAAAAGTTCTAGCAACCTAAGAGGCGTACCCAAGGTTGAAGGAGTGTTTGGCTTCCTCGAACGCAAGTTCTACGACTGCGTTTCAAATCTCCGGAACGCAAGTTTTAAACCTGCGTTCTTGGTTCCTATAAAGAGGCAGACCCATGTCGGGTGTATTCAAGCATAGAATTTCAACTAACAACGTGGAAACTTCCGGAGTTTACCCTAACAACAGCAAAGGGGATCTTCAACAAGTTGGAAGGCACCAAGTCTCTTTAAACGCAATTCTTACAACTACAACTCAAGTCTCTGTGTTGCGTTCAAACCTGTTTGGACGCAAAGATAAAATCATGCGATGATGATAAGCCTGCGATCAAATCATTCAAACACAAGGGAATAGTTTTCAGAAATTCTCATACCACAAAAGAGACTATATCATTTCTGAAGATGTCCACAATTCATCACAGGCAAAAGTAATAATTGTTGCGAAAATATCAAAGTTATTACAAGCCAAAAAGCATCATAAAAATCTTCAAAGAGAAAAGGATGCGAGGCGGGCTTTAGCCTTGGCTATACTGGCAGAATGCTTAGCACGGACTTCTGCTTCAGCCCTCACCCTCAACTCTTCAGCAGTGGCAGCAGTAGCACCAGATCCTGAGCGCAAGGCTTGAAGAGCCTCCTCTATCTCGGGCTTCAAATCAGCATTCTTCAATTTCTCCAAGGTTTCCACAGTACCTGAGAAGAAGTAAACTTTCTCGGCACAGTGATAAGCCCAGCTGCGATTGACACGTTTAAGCAAGCGCATCACCTCAAAGAATGAGTCCTGGATTCCTGAAAATGGGGCCCATCCTTGCTCAGAAATAAGGAATGCTTGCTTCACCATGTTCTCTAGAAGCTCAGTGAGGAAGTTCACACTTTCGAAATCTGGGGTAAAGACCTTTCCAGGGGGAACCATAGCGAGAGGGGTAATCAAAGGAACGTCCCCTTGGGGCGGTTCTTCTTCATCATCAGATATGATGAGGGGATCAGCAGCAGAGACCCCACCTTGCAGCCAAATGAGAAGCAGAGTCAATAAGATAGATGAATGCAAACGCAGTAAGTTTAACATGCGTCAAGATCAGTCTGAACGCAAGGAGTTTAGACCTGCGTTGGCTCAATATGAACGCAAGACTTCTTCCTGCGTTCAAGATTAAAGGATCAACCCTTCATCTTATCAATAAACACGGAAGTGTTCCTCCGCATTCAAGATCAAAGAACGTATGAATGTTGTTCGTATCTAAAACGAACAAATCTTATCAACAAACATAGAAATTTCTCCGTGTGTTCAACGTCAAGGGTTTGATTCTTCATCATTACAATGGACACAGGAAGTTCTTTCAGGATCCAAAGTCAAAAAGATGAACAGTTTTCATCAAGAGACATGTAAATTTGAAAAGACAAATTTTATTCGTCATCATCAACCAGAATTCATCTAAAGAATTTCAAGAAAACTCATTGACAGAAAAATGCTTAAGCGAAGAAGGCAACAAGACTTACCTCGATGACCAGGCGTCGGAGGCATCGACGATAGTCCGGAGGTGGACCCAAAAGCATCCTTCGGCGGAGGTGGAAAGTGCGCCATCTGGTCGTCATCGCTCGAGCGAGATTTCTTGGAAGCCATGGCCAGAAGACAAGGCGAAATAGTGGAAGAACTAACGAGAAGAAACTCATTTGGGAGTTCAAGAAGGAAGCTTAAACGTTAAAGCCTCTTGACATGACTAATCAGCCCTATTTATAAATAATTAATGATGGTGTAGAGTTCCAAGACTCCCGCTGAGAGAGGCCTCTTCGTCATCATTATGACCGCTTGGGCTTCCGATTAGACGCGGGACAAATCCCTGCGTCCGTAAAGCCCGACTAAATGCAATAGTCTGGAGATGCGTTCTTCCAACAATATGCAACCCAATTAAAGAGCATGAACGCAGGGGGTACCCCTGTTTCTAGAATCGGATATTTGGAAAATATGCTGCTTGAGTTTAAAATTTCTGCAGAATTTAAACGAAATAGTAGACAAAGTCTTTCCAATGACAACATTAAACCCATAATGGGTTTTATTCCTTCGAAATTTGAACTCCATCTTCCTCAAAGTTGCTCCGATCGCAACATTTCTAGCTTATCGACTCTCGTCAATAGAGCGATAGGTCCTCAAAGTTGCTCCAAACGCAACACTTCTAGCTTATCGACTCTCGTCAATAGAGCGATAGGTCCCTAAAGTTGCTCCAAACGCAACCCTTCTAGCTTATCGACTCTCGTCAATAGAGCGATAGGTCCTCAAAGTTGCTCCAAACGCAACACTTCTAGCTTATCGACTCTCGTCAATAGAGCGATAGGTCCCCAAAGTTGCCCCAAACACAACCCTTCTAGCTTATCGACTCTCGTCAATAGAGCGATAGGTCCTCAAAGTTGCTCAGATCACAACACTTCTAACTTATCGACTCTCGTCAATAGAGCGATAGGTCCTCAAAGTTGCTCCAAACGCAACCCTTCTAACTTATCGACTCTCGTCAATAGAGCGATAGGTTCTCAAAGTTGCTCCAAACGCAACACTTCTAGTTTATCGACTCTCGTCAATAGAGCGATAGGTCCCCAAAGTTGCTCCGATCGCAACACTTCTAACTTATCGACTCTCGTCAATATAGCGATAGGTCCCCAAAGTTGCTCCGATCGCAACACTTCTAACTTATCGACTCTCGTCAATAGAGCGATAGGTCCTCAAAGTTGCTCCGATCGCAATACTTCTAACTTATCGACTCTCGTCAATAGAGCGATAGGTCCTCAAAGTTGCTCTGATCGCAACACTCCCAACTTATCGACTCTCGTTAATAGAGCGATAGGTCCTCAAAGTTGCTTCGACCGCAACACCCCTAACTTATCGACTCTCATCAATAGAGCGATTGGTCCTTAAAGTTGCTCCGATCGCAACACCTCTAACTTGTCGACTCTCATCAATAGAGCGATAGATCCCCAAAGTTGCACCGATTGCAACACCTTCCACTTGTCGACTCTTAATAATAGAGCGACGGGATCACAAAGCGTGCCATGCTAATATTACATTCCTAGCACTTACAGGATTCTTTCAGTATTTAAGACAAAAGCACAATACTGGAGGAATAAATAGTTGCTGCCGCAATATCAAACTGGTATTTCATGGTTCCATGTCAAAACATGATATGAAAAAGAAACAATGAAAAGCCAAAAGGCAGCACTATCCTTATTCAAAAGAAAACAAGGTGACCTAAAACAAGTGTTGTTCCTACCAAAAGAACGATACAAAAGTAGGCTCATCAATTCATCAGACTGAATGAGGCTAGCTGAGACTTAATATCAGAAAGTTTTCCTTCATGGTCAGCCCGAACCAGCATCTCGGCCCGTTTCCTAAGCTCGTCCTCACTAGACAGCATAGCATCTACCTCCTTCTTAGCCTCGTCCAGAGCACTAGCCTTTTTGCGATAATTCACCAGAGAGGTAGCACTTTTGACGTTGAGCTCAGTGACGATGGCTTCTTCTCGCTTGAATTGAGCCTTCATCCTAGTCAACTCTGTTTCAGCGGTAATGATCTTCTCCCGTAAATTCTCCAAAGAAGTGTTGGATAGTGTTAGCTCAGCTTGCTTTTGAGCATGCAGTTGCTGCAGATGCTCCACCTCGACCTCTTGCCCTGCTATGTGACGTCGAGCGACTTCATACTTACTAACTTCTTCGGCCCGAATATCCTCGAATGTAGATGCAATCTATGCCTGGATATCAACACGACCTAAAGCCTCCAAGAACCTCAGCTATGCCTCTAGGTGCAAAATAGCTTCTGAGCAACCCTGAACAACGTGGGCTTCACCCACGAATTTGAGGTTGTTTAAACTATTTGTGATCATAGGCTTGAAGGTTTCAAAAGTATCTCGGCCAGCCAATACGACCTCAATCACCTTCCTAGTGAGACTTTCTAAATAGTCAAGAGAAATCTTAAGAAAATCTGGCACGTCCGTGGGACTCGAAACAGCAATGGGAGACGGCACAGAAACTTCTGAAGACACAGAGCCAAGTAAAAGACCAGCAGGTGACTTCGGTGTAGTGGCTTGAGAAGGAACGCCGATATCCAGTTGAGAGGGACTTGATTGCAGAGCCATCAGTTCCCCCATGTTAGATGACCTTGGCATGTCTACCACTTCTGTAGAGGCTAGAGAAATTGTCAATAAAGTCGTCTCTGACACCTGAGCTGGTGGTGGCATAAACTATTGCGTCGAAGGAGGGGTGATAGTACTCGCCTCATGTATCATAGGATCTGTATGAGAAAACTATTTAAGTACAGAGCAAAGATTAGTTGCGAGTCAAAAAGAACGACACTTACCAGTGAGAGGTAGAGGAATGTAGGCTGACACCTTGTCGGAAGACGATGGTGGTGGAATATCCCAGTCATCGGGATCATCGCTGTCATCACCCAGGTTGTCATTGTTCCCACTCTGGTCTCCATCATCATCTGTGGCGTCCGCACCATCGCTATGGTCTATAGTCTCATCTTCGTCTACGGAAGGAAATGCCGGTGGATCCTCGGTGATAGTAGGTTTTGATATAACTCCAGTCGTAGGGCTTGGCTGCGTACCTCCTACAGGGGGTAGTAACACAGAAGCAGAAGGAGACTTGTCCGCTATTGGATCTTGCTGGGCAGTCACAGTAGGTTCTTGGACAGGAGGTATATCTTCTTCACCACGAGGGGCAGTGGAGGCAGAATCATGAAGCGTGTCTTCAGGGGCAAACTCCATACCCCCTGCAAATGATTCATCTCCACGTTCTTCTTCATTCAATGAATGTGCAGAAGAGGCAGGGCCTCTTAAAGCCGGACCAACGTTGGGGAGACCAGGCCGAGGCAAGAGTTCCATAGCAGTTGATTCTCGTTCTTCTTCTTCGGTATGCCATGCTTTCTGAGCGTCCGACATAAGTTTAGAAGCAGGGGGCTCGAGCGCTAACTTCCGACGAGCTCTTTTGTCATACTTGGCTTCTTCAACCGGCCCCAGCGCCCGTTTTCCAGTGGCACTCTTACTCCGAGTCTGAACTCTTGAAGGTTCCACCTCGCGAGTATCCGGCATCCTGACCTCTTCCTGAACTTGCTCTGGTGATTGTTGCCGTTCGTCCTCTGGAATCGACTTCTCATATGATAAGTATTCATTAGCACCACGGTCGCGAAACCTTTTGGCGCTCTTCTTTGAGGCGTACCATTTGCGGATGGCTCTCAAGCAAGAGGTATTCATGCTGTAAGCTGAAATTTGAGAGGCAGCTTGATACCACGTGCAAAAGCTCAAAGAAGTACGAATGTTGGGCATCTTGTACGGCAGCCGGAATTTCGCTCCTGTACATCCCGCTACCGAGTAATACCAAGCTCTTGCTCCTTCATACACATTACCAGTGAACGCAAGAGTAGGGTTTGGATTCCCGACATAAATCTGATCATAGCCAAATTGCCGAGAAAAGCGATAAGGCTGATAGGGTTCAATAAATCACTTCCTCCCTTGTCGAAAGATAAGATAACCTGGGCGAATGTTTATGAGCCACCAAAAGGCACCTTTACTGAGCTTGGTGAAAGAATTCGGCCCCGGGGTGTCTTGATGAAGTTCTCCGTACGCACCACCCTCGAAAGCGGGAAACTTGCAAGCAATTTCGTAATTATAGTCCCGCCTAAATATTTCACGGAATCTGACTTGATACCAACCAATCCATTGGGAGGTTTCTAACTGCTGAACAAGAGGAGCTGAGGTACCACTTGATTCAGGAGTCAACATTATCGAAGGGCAGTGCAATACAAACCAAGACACCAAATAGATGTACGGCATCGGCACCCGAGGGGTTGGGGTCTGAATGATAGTCTTCCCGTCGGAGTCCAACTTCTTGACAGCAATAAACTCGGAAGATAGTTCCCGCAAACCACTTTGTAAACAGCACACCATGGCTGAAAGAAGATTCAAGGGTCATCCATAAGCCAAAAGAACAGCGGGGTATAAGACCTCTACTGTAATAGCATCCACCGGTCTTATGGGTACCACGCAACGCTTCAACCAAAGAGTCAGAAAACCAGCAAACAAAGCCATGTCAGAGATTGGGACTTCTGCCTGATAGTGGAAGCTTTCGAACGTGGTGAACGCTGGGAAGACATCCTCCTCTACCTCGCAAGTATAATGAGAGGTTGTGTCATTGATGCGTTCCGTGATCTCCTCGAGAGTACTGGCGGCTAAACGAGTCACCTCAGCCTCCTTGTCCCACAGGTTTCGGAAAAGATACTCCGCCCACTATCCTTGTTTTACGCCGCTTGCTCTTTTCCCAGTAGTTTGCGCACATATCTGGAAATGGCACATCAATTCCCAGTAAGTGTTGTAGATTTCGGGAGCATCATTTTTCAGGATCTCTAATTCCCTACTTCCGGGAACAAACTCTTCATAAGGCAATTCTCCAAAAGACAGTCCAGAAATTTCAAACATTTCGGGAAGAGCAAAGCCCAATTCACCAACTGGGGTGAAAAAAGTGCCGGTGTGAGGGTTGTAGAATTCCAACATAGCGAAGAGTTCGATGTAATTTGGAGAAATCCCATATCGAGTGGCCATTATTGGAACCTTTAGCTCCGAAATCCTCAAAGGTTCTTCTAGCTCCTCCAAGACGAAATTTATCATCCGGGCCCACCAGTCTGTATCACTGGAGTGACCCATGTAGGAGCCTTGAAATCCTGAGCAGGAAACTCTCCTTTGACAGAGATAAATGTTCTAATGAATACCTCCGCCAACTTAGCAGACTCTCCAACAGGATGCTCTTTTTGGAATAAACCTGGTTTTAAAGCCATAAAATTATTGAAACCAGCCGGATGAGTGCCCCGATGAGTAATGTGCCCCGTAGCAACACCGCCTTGGTCCTGAACGAGCTCCCAATTCATCGACCGCGGGATAGAAGCGCACTGATAATAAGAGATCGGCCACATCCGCTCCAAATTAGGAAGGAAAAGACGACGGTTGTTGACGACCTTCAGCCATTTGTAGTTCCCCTCGGACATCCGCTTATGATCCATTTTTACAGAATCCCCGAAAAGGAAGGATGGCTTCTTTAAAATCTCATGCTCTACGGTTTCAAATTTAGCATCCGTAACTAAAGACCTGAGAGTCTCGGAAAAGCCTGAGTAATAAGTTTCGCCCGCTCTTTGTGGGTGTCCTGGAATATTGGATACTCGAAGGCAAAGCTGAAGATTGTATTCTTCACCGCACCTCCCGCGTGACCGAAGTAGTAGTTGAACGAAAGAGGCTCGTTGGAGTAGCACACTGAAAATAGGAAAAAATCAGTCAAGAGAAGTCTAACACAAGAATGCAAAGTTTAGACCTGCGTTCAGATCCTTAAACGCAGGGTCTCAACCCGCATTTAAAATTTTAAATGTAAAGTTTAGACCTGCGTTCAGATCCTTAAATGCAGGGTCTCATCCCGCATCCAAAATTCCAAATGCAGGGTCTCAACCCGCATCCAAAATTCCAAATGCAGGGTCTCAACCCGCATCCAAAATTCCAAACGCAAGGTTCAGACCTGCGTCCAAAATTTTAAACGTAGGGTCTGAACCTGCGTTGAAATTTTAGGAACGATGGAGCTAGCCATACGTTTTCTTAAAATTGATGAACACTGAGAATTATCTCTCAAGTTTAAGAATGAAATACAGATCGCCAATCAAGGGTCGAAGATGAGAGATCTGTCAAATCAACTTACAATGGCTCAATCTTACCATTAGTTGAGGAAACTGGAGACGAAGGCGTCGTAATTTGATCGTCCCTGGAGGTTATAGCCGAAGGAACACCCTGAGCTTCGGCAATCTTTGATTTAGAAGCCATTTTCTTCTTGGGGCCCATTCCAATCGAGGCGAGCAAGATGAAGATGGGTGAACGAGGTCCTTTCCTCTGTCGAACTGCCGGAGAAGATGAACAGGAGCCCTGTTAGGAAATCGGTGGAAGAGCAAGAAGGGGAAAAGTCGAATGACTTTTTGATTTGACCTTAGTGGCCTATTTATACACAGCTGTAGCTGTCAAATCAATGCGGGATTCTAGGCAAAAATCTCACCCGAAACGTGATTCTCGCGTTTTTAAAAAAGGGGGTTTCAACTTCTGAACGCACCCTCATATGCAGACAGCTGAACGCATGATTTAGACATGCGTTCTGGTGACCAACCTCCGCCTAAAAATCTCACCCGAAACGTGATTCTCGTGTTTTCAAAAAAGGGGGGTTTCAATTTCTGAACGCACCCAGACAGCTGAACGCATGATTTAGACATGCGTTCTGGTGACCAACCTCCGCCTATCACGTAACTAACTCCTTCAAAGGGGTTAATATTCCAAGCAATAACCAGACGGCTGAGATCATTTTACCCCAGGTGAGCTGATCAAGAAGATTCTTCCGAAGCTGTCTTCCTGACTAAGCTGGGGATGAAAGCCTATTCGTACAAGCTGAAGTCCAAGTCATTATTGACAAACTAAACAAGAAAGAGGATGTCAACAAATTTGTCTAAGTCCCTGAGATGCTCCACTCAGTCTGTGTTGAGATGCATTCAATCAGCAAAATTTTGGGATCCAAAGTATTCCGAAAATTCGTCCCAGTCAACCATGAACTTTCGAAAACTTTGGAGGGGGTTCTGTAGGCTGTCTAAAAATCACAATGGATAGCTGATCACCATCAAGCTATAACAAAGAAAGTTACAATCAGACGACTTTCTTGTTACCCAACAGAAAGCTACAATCGAGGGACACCCCTATGGACCATGAAGAAATCGAGAGGTAGAATTCATCCCTACAGTCGAAACACAAGTGGCTACGTTCCAAAAGACGAAGCATCGCAATCATTGCATCCTCGGCTATCAACACAGTTCTATGTTTGAGATGATTGATCTTGATGGCTGCGACAACAACATGACTAACATCATATTAGCAACTATTAGAGATGCTGCGCCACTGGACGCAGCTCTATTCGCTGCCCGACGCAGCTCAACATCGCTGCACAACGCAGCTCAACATCACTACCCGACGCAGCTCAACATCGCTGCACAACGCAGCTCAACATCGCTGCCCGACGCAGCTCAATATCGCTGCACAACGCAGCTCAACATCGCTGCACAACGCAGCTCAATATCGCTGCACAACGCAGTTCAACATCGCTGCACAACGCGGCTCAATATCGCTGCAGAACCTGCCCGACGCAGCTCAATATCGCTGCACAACGCAGCTCAACATCGCTGCACAACGCAGCTCAATATCGCTGCACAACGCAGTTCAACATCGCTGCACAACGCGGCTCAATATCGCTGCAGAACGTACTTTCAGATGCTGCGTTCAAGCACAGAATCTATGCCAGAACGCATGTCAAAGTTTTGACCTGTTCAAACACGATCCATGCAGTTTCGAAAACCACTCTTCACCCATGATTTGAGGAGTGGCTTACGTGGGTTGTTACAACCGATTAAGAGGCAACTAAACCCTCATTTAGGAGCGGATTATGGGGGCAGTTACACCCCTAATCTCCCTATAAATATCAACAAACTCAACAGAGTTCAGGGTTGGACTTTTGGAGATCGGATTCAGATAGTGAGGGTTAAAGGATCAGCTCCTTACACAGTCTGAGGAATCATCATCAACTGAAGATTCCAGACACTCAATACTTGGCTTATTAACCGAATTATTTTCGGTTCTGTTAACTCTTTTCATATTAGAGTTTGTTACTCGTTCTAAGCTATAATACTCGTCAAGAGTTATCGACCATACAAGTCAGTTGTTCCAGTGAATTGAAGTTTTCGGATCATCAACGAGAAGCAAACTCGACGCGAGCATTCGAGGGAGGCATCTCATCGCCACTGTGAAGAACCCAGTTTTAAACAAAGGAGAAAATTTAGATCATTCTCTTCTCTTTTGTAATCAGGAAATCCAATTGTAATCGAGAGTTGAGAGATTTGTAAACATTCTTTTTCTAAGCGGTTAGAGAGAATAAAATCAAATACAATTCATTCATTCATTTTCTTATTGCAAATTTTCCACAAACAATAGTGTCATAAATTATAGTATGCTCGTACATAATTACACACATAACTTCCATAAAGTTGCAAATTGCAAGCACAAAAGTACCAAAACATTGAAGGACAATTGGAGGGAGAAAACGTATATACATCATACACATTGTTAGACCCTAGAGGGGGAGTGATTATGGTCTTATGTTAATCTAATCCGATTTTAAGCCAATTAAAACTTATTAACAAGTTATCCTAGCAAGTATGAAATACAACAATATATATGAGCTAGGATAAGTAATATGAACAACAAGA